CCCTGATCTTGCTTTAAGTTATGATAAGAGGAAGCTATATCTAAATCAACAGTGAAGATACTGAACACAAAGAGTTTCTCACATTAAAGGGCTCTCTGCTGGCAAGTCTTCTCATCATGGAGGTTCTTGTCAATTGTGATCAAGTCACCTACTAAATTGCTCTTGTATTGAGCGTCCATTCATTGTTTGCTGCATAGCAGGGTTTCTGGCTCTGCAGCTCCGTACGAAACCCTTTGCAATTTGTGGTAACATTTTTTGCAAAATGCGGGCAGCAGAGCTGGACACGTAGGCCAGTAACAGTCTCCCTAATGTGGTATCTGGTGGTAACACCTCCCTGTTTCTAGTCAGGATCCCCCCGTTTATATAGTTAAGATTCATTTGCTCTTTAAAGGCCTCACTCCTCACCAGAGGGGTGTTCATTTAGTCCTCCCTGGAGTGGAGTGCATTAGGGGTACACCCATCCAGCCGTTTGGAGTGAGCCCCACAGCCCGTCACCAGACTTGGGTTCCTGAGGCTGCAGCAGTGCTCTCAATACAGCTGTGTAGGCAGTGCTTTGAAGATGTGGTTTGGGCTAGGCATGGGCTCTGAAGCCTAGGGAGGTGGGTGCACTGTCACGCTGTCTCTTTGTAGCGCACTGCTGCAAGCCTCAGGAACCCACCTCTCTCGACAAGGGCTGGGCAGCTTCCTTCTGAAAGCTATGCAGATGCACCTCGACTGGCCTGCAAGGAGCCATGTGGGGCAGAGTGTAAGTTCTCTACTGCATGTCAGCACCCAACTGATTGAAACAGGACTACAACCCCATTAGGGAACATTTAGTCTGGGTCAGCAGGGTCCACAAAGGCCAGTTAGAGGATGTCTAATGAGGCGTACCGGAGCGGTCGACAAAGGCTTCCCTTGTTGACCGCGACGCGTCCAGACTGTTGCGCTGTGCCTCCAAACATCTGATCGGCGCGGCGCAGCGGCCATTTTGATGTAAATGAAGTGGCGATTATTTAAATTGCCACTTCATTTTCCTATGTCTAGTAAACTCATCTACATGGCTCCGTCGACGGAGCTGTGTAGTCTAGACATACCCTTAGTGAACAACACACTCGTGTGTGCTAAAATGTACACCCTTCTAGTGCAGGCTAAATCCTTGTGTAGGTAAACTTCTAGCTACCAGGTGACAATGCGAGCTCAGTTGTTTTCCACTGTGACTGTTAAGTCTTTTTCAGAGTCCCTTTTCCCAGGCTACGATCCCCCATCATCGAAATGTGACCTGCATTCCGTGTTTCTAGAAACGTGGCTTTGCTTTGAAATGCATTATTGAAATGTGCCACTTCCACATCATCCAAATTGCTCTGTAGGACAGTCCTGTCCTTAATGTCCTTTCAGTGACAACAGATGCCCTCCCGCAAGGTGTTAGCTGATGATTTTCTTAGAAGAAATAAGGGCATGCATGTGTATGCAAATAACGGGTATGCAAATTGCAGCCTCATTCGTGATGGGAGCGATGTGCGGCTCTGCTAGGACCTGCTGGGTCATTGCCCCTCTTTATAGCTGTTATAGTGAAGGATGGTTTGAGGGGCTGTTCTGTAGGAAGTGTAGGGAGCCATTTTCCGTAGAACATATTTCCAATCTTAAATGTTCAAAAATTATTATTTGAGTTCCAGAAATCCTGAGACTAGCTTGACTATTGTGACATTCGAAAATGTAATAACTTTGGGATTCCCCCCCCCCCCTTTGTCTTCTGGTGTTGTAATCTATAGAGTTCATGTTTGCAGGCTTTTTTTCCTGCAACCATTAGGACTAGAAACTTGCTACCTTTTTTTTCCCCATGAAAGCTGAGATTGTAGCATAGCCACATAAATCTAGGGGCCAGGGCTTCGTGAAAAGCACCAAATGTTGTGAGACTAACGGTAAAATCCTTCGAGCTGGCAACACTGAGAATATTTGGGTTGTCTAGGCTTTACTTTTATTGATTCAGATGAAAATGATTGCCTTTGTTTTCCCACAGACCTTTCAGCAAACTCTTGCCTGCAGCTTCATCACAGCCTATATCGAAGAGCTGCTTTTTAACCCACTCCAGAGTCACCTCTTTCTAGTGCTATCACGCAGCAATATTGAAGCCCATTCAGGCAGTCCTCAAAAAGCACCTGCAGCTTCCCTGCTTTAAAATTTTTTTTCTAGTCATAAATAGTGTGAGCAAAATTAGAAGCTGCAGGACCAGAGAAAATCCCTGTTACTCTGTCTCCCCGTGTTGGGTGTAATTGGAGCAACAATTCAAAATTGAGAGATCATTATGTAAACGGGGAACAGGTTAGGTGGGAGGCAGTGCCCAAATGTACAGAATTGATGAGGAAATGTTGGACAATGGAACCTACTGCCGGCAGGGTCCTGGAAGCTCCTTTGGTGGAGGTTTTCAGAAGGACATGGGGTCTCCATCTGTCCAAGGTCCATTAGACACAACAAATCCTGAATCTTGGCAGGGGTTAGACAAGATGACCCTTGCAATCCCTCTTAACTCGGGGGCTGTGTCTAGACTGGCAAGTTTTTCCGGAAAATCAGCAGCTTTTCCGGAAAAACTTGCCAGCTGTCTACACTGGCCACTTGAATTTCCGGAAAAGCACTGACGATCTCATGTAAAATCATCAGTGCTTTTCTGGAAAAACTATGCTGCTCCCGTTCGGGCAAAAGTCTTTTTCCAAAAGACTTTTGCCCAAAAGGGCCAATGTAGACAGCATAATACAGCGAAAATGGCGATCGGGGCTTTTTTGCGGAAAACCGCGTCTAGATTGGCCATGGACGCTTTTCCTCAAAAAGTGCTTTTGCAGAAAAGCATCCTGCCAATCTAGACGCGCTTTTCCGCAAATGCTTTTAACGGAAAACTTTTCCATTAAAAGCATTTTCGGAAATTCATGCCAGTGTAGACGTAGCCTACAGGTCTAGGTCTGTGAAATGTGCAGCGTGGGAAAGGAAGGGTCATGGAGTCCAGTTCCTGCTGTAGCCAAAAGCTGCATCACACAATCCTGGTCATTTGTTTATCGTGCTTTTCCTTAAAACGTGTGAATTGTTTGCCCTACTGCTTCTGTTGGGAGGCTGTTCCAAGACCAAACCATCTTGTAAATTCAAGCCTAAATTTACTCATGACCAGTTTATACTCATTTGTCTGTCTGCTAACATGATCCCTTAGTTGAAACAGCTCCTTTCTTCCTCTCCAGTGCCCACCCCTTGATGTATCTGTAGAGGTGTCTCATCCCTTCTCAGCCTTTGTTTTGCTAAGCTCCTCGGGCTTGTCTACGCAGGGCGGCAGCATACCCGAGAGAGGTGATTTCTAAAGTGCACTACAACAGCCACTCGCAAGAGAAGAGGATGGACGCTGGCTAGTACGGGCAGGTTGGAACCAATTCCATTTAAAAGGAGGCTGTTAGAAAATGTAAAGGTGTTTGCTGCCAACATGAATCTGTCGGACTTTTTCTAATAGTGAAGCTGTGAGCTAGTGAGCAGGAAGAAGGTGCCCAAAGAACAGTTCATGGCGCCAGTGGCCAAGCTTTGATCAGGCATTAGCATCAACATGCTGATTTAATTAACTCAAAAAGGGAAAAGGGAGCTAGGTGACTAGATTCACGAGGCAGCCATGTAACTGTGACAGCAGCTATGTGTTAAAATGCATTAATATTCCCTTTCCATTCCTCTCACCTGTTTAAAAGCTGCATTACAGAGACCTTTGGCCAGCTGGCTGTGAAATACATTCTGTCTGCAGCCACAGAGTTAATACGGCCTCTTTACACCCCACTTGGAATCTGCCAAAGCCTTTTCTGCTGTCTTGTAACCCGCAGCACTAGCCTCCCCATCCTCCGCCAGAACAATACATTCTAGGCAGCGATTCTGGAATTGACTTTCCACTTGCTGACTTTCCGTGGTGTTTTCCAGCTTGTGACCATGACGGTTTCTTCTGTTTTTCTTCTCTCCTTTGTTATCCCATTTTCTCAATCCTCCTCTTTTTGCCTTAGGCTTTGTCTACAGACGTAGGGTGTCTAAACTCTTGGAAAAGTCTTGCTAAATGTTATATATAGAACACATGAACGCAAGGGGAGCTGGTAGATGCTGATACAGTTGCACTCGTTCTCAGAAGTGTCCTCTTTTTTGCAAGTTCAACTATGGTAACCCTACCTCAAGCTTTGGCATCCTTTAGGGCAGGAGGACTTGGGCTTCAGCTCAGCCCTTCCCCCCCGCCTGAGGATACGGGGATTGGAGTGCAGTCCCCTTTCCCAGGGTCATGTGGTTTTTTTGTTGTCAAAGGGGGTGGCGATGCAGTGAAGTTTAAGAAACGCTGCTGTACATGAGCTGGACAATGGGGGAACAGGTCTAGTATTCCTGGATTCCCTGCTGTTTTGCAGGTCAGACCCTTCCTCTTCTAAAAAGCCTTAGTCTGGAATCTGGGTACGTTCTCTTTGTGGGTCTGGGGTCTTCTTTCTGAATGGTTCTGGCATCCAGCAATGATGTGCTGCCCTCTGGAAGAGCTTCCAAGGACTATACCAATGCAGAGACACTCCAAACCGCACAGGGCAATCACGCACACCGGCACACTCTGCCGAAAAGTCACACAGACACCAGTGAGATCAGCAAAACAACAGCCAAAACAAGTGGGGTTTGCTAACGCAAGAGAGAAAGGAGACCGCCATACCCACAATGGCCACCCATGCAAACATAGACTCCCTGGCACGGCTCAATGCACAGATAAATAGAAACACATACAAGGCACACCCGTGTAAATGCACAGACACATGCACAGGAGCACCGACAGAATGTGAGACCGAGGTGCACACAGGATCCAGTGGCACATAAGCACAGAATCACAACCACACACACAAACACCCAGGGGGTCCCATGCATTTATGCAGTATCGATACTGCACAGTCACAAAGAGGGAAGCAACCCCCCCCCCCCCCCCCCCCCCACACTCCCGCACAGCTCTGCTTTGTTGTAAACCCCAGGGCTTTCTTCTCTTGTTTTAACAGATGACTGCTACAGCACAACAGCCGGCGAAGGCACAGCCAGTGCACATCACAACACCCTCGGCAGCGGCCAACACCCCCGTCCCCAGCACTCCTATTGACCCTCAGGCACAGCTGGAGGCTGACAAGCGAGCTGTCTACAGGTACAGGGGAACGACTGCCAGGCTGCTCTTTAATGTTCCTTCCCATCTCTGGGGTGGCATGCCAAGCTAGTACACTCATCTGTCTGGGGGTTAACGTCAGCTGGAGTGGGGAGGAGGCATTTGCTCGGGAGCCCTTGCCAATACATCCCGCAAGACGCAACTTTCGGTTCACTTTAAGTCGGGGATACACAAGCTCCAGAAGAAAGAGCTTTGCTCTCTTTGCTAGGGGAATCAGGGTCCTGCACGCAGCGCGCTGAGCAGTAGGCAGGAGAACGTGACCCCAGGAGTCCTGGGACGCTGGGGATCAGGAGCAATTAATACTCATATTTTAAATGTTTAAATTTTTACACATATTTGTATTTTTTTGTTTGTTCTTGTAAGCCACCTTGAATATTTTAAATAGAAAGGCGGGGTAAAAATATTGAAATAAATAAAATAAATACATTAATGAATTAATACATGATATTGGGATGAAACGGCCAGTGGATACTGGGGCGTTCCAAAGTCCTTCGTTGCTTTCCCCTCCTGAGGTGTCTGGCTTCTCACCTGGTTCCCTCGGAACATCACGGTCTGAAATTACCGCCAGGTTCAGTTACTGGGCTACTGTCTCATGCCTGGGTGGTTGCCTCTGGGACATACCTAGTCAGCCAGACCTGCCCTCCTGGTCGGCTCCCCCTGCGGCCCACGCCCACATGCGCAGCAGCACTGATGCTACAGGAACCAGCCCATCTCAGGGCCGAGAGCTAGCCCATGCGATACACCAGGTGCCATCACATCAGGGCGATCTGTGCACTGGCCCGGGGGGATTTCTCGGGTAGAGGAGAACATTTGCTCTTGAGGATTATAAACTGTCTGCCCAGATGAGCAAGCAGTAGTGCATTGATACTGTAGCCTTAAGGGGACCCGGGGATTCCCTGCTTCTCCGTGTGGCACCTGGCTTCCTTCCTGTGACCCAGGGAAAAGATTCTGCCACTTCAGCTTTCGGGCCCCTAGTTAACTGGTGGCATTCTGGGGTGGGTTCTTGGCAGGGGGGAATCTCCACCCCTGGAGGTTTTTACGGTCCACCTGGCAAAGCCCTGGCTAGGATGATTTAGTTGGGCTGGGCCTGCCTTTGGGCAGGGGGCTGGACTCTATGACAACTCAAGTCTCTGCCAGCCCTGGGATTCTGTGACTCCTAGGGGTATGTCTAGACTACAGGCTTTTGTCGACAGAGGCTTTGTCGGCAGATACTGTCGACAAAGAGCGTCTAGACAACATCCAGTTCTGTCGACAAAGCAAGTCACTTTGTCGACATGACAGCGTAGACGCAAAGGACAGTGTAGATGCAAGAACGCCTTCTGGCGACAGAACTCTGTGGACGAAAGGCGTTATTCCTCGTAGAATGAGGTTTACCGCCGTCAACAAAACTGCCAAGTTCTGTCGATGTTATGTCAACAGAACTCGGCGGTAGTGTAGATGCAGGGATAATTTTGTCGACAAAAGTCCACTTTTGTTGACAAAACCCTGTAGTCTAGACACACCCTTGGTGAAGAGATCGAGAGCTGGATTCTGCCCTGCCCCGGGTCAATCATTTATCTGTGCAAAGTAGGTGACTGTCAGAATGGCAGAGTCCCGGCCCTGCTTTGCTCAGGGCCCCTCCGTCTAACCAGGCCAGGGGCCAGGGCCAGGGCCAGGTTGTGGTAAGAGCAGCCCTGGACTCTCTACCTACCCTGGCAGGGGCTCCGGGGCAGGGGGGAGAGATGGGCCAAGGGCCGCTGCCAGGTGGAGGATCTTCCAGAGCTCCCCACAGCCCCCTGGATGGCGGTTACCCTGGGAAAGAGGCGAGGCAGGAGTGGTCCCACAAAGGGGGCAGGTTCTCGTGGTTGTCCCACTTTCATGAGGATCGATCCAGCACCTCTGGAACACGTCTTCTCCAACTGGTCTTCTGGTGGCTGGCAGCTCTTCCCCTCCCCTCATCTAGACACAGATCCCCTGACCATTTATGGGTCAGCTCTTCGGTGCTGCCCCACCCTCTGTATGGTGGCATCTGCTCTGCCCTGGGGGGGCTGGGCCTACTTCATTCACAGAGGCCAGGCACCCTGGGACAAACCTCTTGGGGATTTTGCTGCGTGGATTTCCAGATGTTGCTCATTGCCGTTGCACGGCATTGTATTTACAGGTGTCATGTAGTTCAGCCCCTGAGCTCCTCGGTGGGCACTTCTGAATACAAGCTGTTGCTGTTCCCCATGCCCCGCCCCACGAGGGGTATCTCTGAGCTCACAGGGAGCACCTCTGTCTTCTTAGCTCATACCGACCTTTTTACTCTGCCAGGCGCAGCTTGAGAAGAAAGTAGGGGCACGGGGCAAAGAAGAGACAGTCTGTGGCACTTAGACAAACCCCAAACACAGCAACAATCCAGGAGCACTTTGCCCCTCAGAACCAGAACGAGGCGAGTTCTCTCCCCTTGCTGCAGAGCCGAGGATGGAGCAGGGGACTCAGCTGGTGTCAGTAAGCACATCCAGCTGCACAGGCACAGAGCGACTCGCGTTTGTTTGAAGGCCACAGTTAGCCTGGGGCTCTCAGACTGCAGGGACTTTGTTCTGATGTTTCCAGATTGCTGGCAGCCGGTTTCAGGCACCACTTCTCTCTCGCTCTCATCTGAGATCAATCTCTTTATTAGTTCACCTTTGGGGTTTGTAACTTGCTGCTTAAGGTTTTTTAACAACATTGTAAACAGGATTAATAATTTTAATCAGTGTTAGCAAGCTGCTAACAGCAGCATTTCTCTCCAATCCATTGCAGATCTACTTTGAGGTTACAGATTAGGGGTTTGCCATCTTACGGCCGAGACACTGCTGAATGTAAGAAGAGGCACTTTGCTCTATAGTTCATATCAATTTGTGATTCTTTTTTTTTGCCCCCACGTGTTCCAATGTTGGATGGACATGATGGCAATGTGAAGTGGAGTTCACTGCACAAGTCCCACTAAAACCAGTGAGACTAGGTACCAAGAACATAGGGAAAGGTAGGAGAGCTGTCCTGGAGGCCAATCTAGGTTGCTAGCTGAAAAATTAAAGTCCAGGACCTCCATGGTAGAATTCTCTGAATGCTTCCCGTTCCATGTGCAGGGCCGGTTAGGCAGAACTGCAAGGTCAGTGAGTGGGCAAGACAATGGCATTGGGGCGGGGGGTTCAGTGTATTACGATCAGGGGACCCTTTTGGGAAAGGAATAGCCTATACAGGAAGTCCTGGGACCACTGAAACCAAAATGGAGCCAGATTGATAGCATGTAAAATAAAAAGGTGGTGGAGAAACTATGGGCAGGAGGGGAGCCAACAGACAGACATATCCCATAGGGGAGACTCTATTAATGGGGATTCTATATCCCATAGTAAACAGGAGAGGATAGCAGATGCTAAAGTACAGATAGACTGTATCTCTTCAATTCCTAACAAAAAAGAGCCCATTTAATTACATCACATGAAGGCAGACAACTAACTATTGACAAATGTTATAAATGCTTATCTACCAATACAAGAAATCTAAATGCTAGGGGCTTGTCTACACTTCAAACACTACAGATACAATCTCCATTGCTGATGATCTACCAAGAGTCATTGGACTTATATATACTTGTAGTAAAGCCCAGAACCAAGGTGGAGGAGTTGCAAGTGCATTAGAGGATAGAATTATAATTCAGAATAAGCTGGTCAAATTGGAGAAATGGTCTGAGGTCAATAGGATGAAGTTTAATAAAGACAAATGCAAAGTGCTCCACTTAGGAAGGAACAGTCTGTTTCACACACACAGAATGGGAAGCGACTGTCTAGGAAGGAGTCCTGCAGAACTGTCTAGGGGTCGTAGTGGACCACAGCCTAAATATAAGTCAACAATGTGACACAATTGAAAAAAAGAGCAAACATGATTCTGGGAGGCATGAACAGGAGTGTTGTGTGCAAGACACGGGAAGTCATTCTTCCTCTCTATTCCGTGCTGATTAGACTTCAATTGGAGTATTGTGTCCAGTTCTGGGCACCGCATTTCAGGAAAGAAGCAGAGAAACTGGAGAAGGTCCAGAGACGAGCAACAAGAATGATTAGAGATCTAGAGAACATGACCTAGGAAAGAAGATTGAAAGAACTGGGTTTATTTAGCCTGGAAAAGAGAGGGCAGGATAGCAGCTTTCAAGTACCTAAAAGAGTGTTACAAGGAGGAGGGAGAAAAATTGTTCTCCTGGGCCTCTGATGATAGGACAAGAAGCAATGGGCTTAAACAGCAAGGGAGGTTCAAGTTGGACATTAGGAAAAACTCCCTAACTGTCAGGGTGGTTAAACACTGGAATGAATTGCCTCGGGAGGCCAGGAAATCTCCATTCTTGGAGATTTTTAAGAGCAGCTCAGACAAACACCTGTCAGGGATGGTCTAGACCAGGGCTACTCAACTTTAGAAGCCCCGGGGGCCACAATGATATTCACAGCACATGTCGAGGGCCGCAACTTAAGTGTGGTTGCATATACATGCAAATATATAAGCAAATATATGCAAATAGCTTCTTTCACACTAATCTTTTCTTTCATACAAAGATTAAGGCAAGACTACACAACACGCAGGCCCCATTTAAGTCAGTTCTGCTGATATTAATAAAATATTTACCCGATTTCCACCCATATGACAGCACTTTTAATGAGCAATAACAGTCCAGGAATTTAACTACTAAAACTCATGTCAACAGAAGACCATTCTATTGACTCGCTGGTGTGGAGTGTGTTCCCAGTGGATCAAAGGATGTTCAGAGGATCCCACCCACGGGCCACGTGTTGAGCCCCGTGTAAACCCAAATCACACCACGGACCACATGTTGAGTAGCTCTGCTCTAACTGGTGCTTGGCTTTGCTGTGAGGGCAGGGGACTGGACGTAATGAGCTCTCAAGGTCCTTTCCAGTTCTAGTAGTCTATGATTCTGTGAAGTCTAGGGACTTGGGTGGGGCTCATTTTGGCTTCCAGCAACACATTACTGCTGA